ATGGAGTACCTACCGGAGGTGAGCAATGAAGAAGTCAGCAACAACAACGAAGATAAGGACGACGCGAATCTTAGAAACGGCAAACCGGCAACTTCCCTGACGTGGGACAGTCTTTTTTCTATCTACTCAGCGGAAAGCGTGGCGCCGGAAGAAGTGAAGAATGAAGCGAAGCGTGTCAAGATGGAAACACAAGATTCTTCTGTCCCGTTAAAGAATGGGTTAAACAGTGAGGCAACAGTAGAGTGGATGCCTCATGTCATGTTTCTACCCTCAACACGGCCGCGTTTTGTTGTCGTGACACACCGCAGCGTATTTGATGGAGCGAAGGGTGCGCGGCGTGATGAGTCGGAGCTGGACGATGTTTCCACCGCGTCAGGTGTCCTGGTGGTGAACCAAGAAATTTGGAGTAAACGTTCTGCACCGAAGTTTGAACTGCGCGTTGCGGAGGTGACAATACCCGACAGCGGACTGGTAATGCGCCGTGGTGCATCCGAGGCGAACGGAGTTTCATGTGGTCTGATTCATTTTGTCAACAACGCGGTTAACAGTTGAACTGGGCTAGCAGAGGATGGGTGGTGGCGGTGGTGACATTTTGATAGAAGGGCCCCGAAAGGGGTTTCATTCGTAAATGCATTTATCTATTAACCTGTTATGAGTTTTGTTTTTTTTCCCTTAATTGCTTTATTATCAGTTGAGCAGCACTCGTAAATATTTGTATGTTCTTCTGCTATGTCTCCTTCTCTCTTCATGTGTGCGTCTGTTTGATGCAGGCAGTCAAATTTTTTTTTTTATTTTCTCTTAGTTTATTTATTTTTTTTTTTTTTCAGGCGAGGAAGGCGTTGTTTCATTTTTTTTTGTTTGTTTGGTGTCATGGCGCGCGGCGTACATCTTGACAGGCTCGCGACAAGTGCGCACGTACACGACTGGGTGGGAATGGCAGACGCAAACTTCTTCTAATTGCCGCCCGTTGCCGTTCACACCGTGGCACGCTAGCGGCAGTCGAAAGGAGTGAGATGTAAATCCTTTCGGCCGCGGACGTAATTCTTTTTTTTTTCTATTTTTCTATTCTTCCCGCGTCCTTTCTTTTTTTTTCTTCACTTCTCCTACTCGTCCCCTTTGACTGTCCGCCGTTCTCTCTCGTTTCTGCCACTGCGCCTGGAGTTCAAGGAGGCAAGACGGTATTAAATTGACAAGAGCGAAGAAGACATTAGACTTGACGCGGGCCCGTAGGAATTTAATAAGTGGATTTGGCAACACGCTCACAAAATAGGAAAAAAGAAAGAAAAGAGGAAACGCGAAGAAAACACGTTTTATATTGAAGGAAGAGTAAAATTAATATTCTAAAAAAGAAAAAAAGAATAACAGGAGAGAATCATGACGGAGGGAACTGCAGCCGCTGCGGGGGCATTGAGTGAGCTTTTTATTGACGAAGACAAGGTCCACAGATCGCTGATTCCAGACGATGTGGTGATCCGCGATTACCTCAGCTGCATTAACGACGACACATGGGTGCGACATGCCGAGCTGGTGCAGCTTTCAGACCTGAAGGAAACACCGCACGAGGAGCTGGTGAAGAAGGAGGTCCTCCGCACTTTTATTGAGGAGCGACGTAGAAGCGGGGTGGAAATGCCAAGGGATCTCATCATGGAGGGCATACTTTGGCAAGAACGGTTTATGGAAGAGTATAAAAGGGAACAGCGTTCACAAGACAAGAAGGAAGCATCAAACTACAAGCAATCTCTAATGTCAAAGTTTCGGACGAAGCGAACTGGTGTGAGTGACGTCACCGACTCCGCTTCAAGAGGAACAAGAGCCATTGAGTACAAGGAATCGCAAGCCTCTGCGCCAGAATACCCAACGGAGAATACGGATGCGAGGGATACGTATCATGAGCTTCCTAATGGAAATGCATCGGCGGCACAACAGGATCCAAATAACGACGTGCCCAAGAAGGAAGAGGAGGAAAAAATCGAGCCTGCAGCAGCTAATGAATTTGACCACGAAATAGACATCGCCGCAGAACCGTGCCCTGTGGAAGATCACACTGAACCTGAGCAACAGGCGGATGAGGCTCTTCAGCAGGGTCATTCTGGCGAGAGCAAAAATGAATATCCGACCGAAGATGAATTCCCAGCTGGGCAGCAATCGGCTGTGGCTGAACCCGCGGGTCAGGCTGCTGTACCCGGTGATGTGACGCAGGCCGCTGCTGAATACCCATCTGAGGAGGGGATTTCAGCCGAGAAGCCGAGCCATGAGGGGGAGGCAACGGCGCCTGACACTGAGGCTCCCGATGGCACGGAGTATCCGGTTGAAGATGCAAAAACTCCGCCCAACGAGCCGGCGGCGGATCTGGCAGACCAGCCAGCTACCGATGCGAATGCTGATACAAACGCGGAAGAAATGTAAATGTATAATATATAATTGAAACGATTTTTTTTTTTTTTTGCAACAAGAAAAAAAAGGGGAAAAAAAAAGGAAAAGGTGGAGATGAAAATGGAAGGAAGGAAAAAAACAAGAAAAGAAAAAGGACAATCTATACAAACAGGACAGAGCGAGGAAAGGGAAGTTGTGTCGATATGAGGGACGTGAATAGTTTTTAAAATAACACCTTGCTTTTTTTTTTTTTTTTACATGAGTTTATTTCTGTAAACTGGCCTATATAAATGTCACGTTTGCAGCCTTCATATGTATTACATGTTCCCTACACACTGCTCTCACAATACACCGAATCAATTGCTGCCAATACTTTTTTTCACTGCCTATTAGGTGCGCTTATTCCAGGGAACAAACGTGCGTTAAAACTGATGGTCGTTGGCTTATTTGGCTGTGCTTCCTTAATAAAGTCTATATTTATTGTTGCAGTTGTTTTTTTTTTTTTTTTTCCTTTTTGAGTGAGTGTGAAAAGGGAGGTTTGGCGACTTTGAATACCACATGTATACACACGTTCAAAAAAATTTTTTTTTTCCTTTTTCTAGTATGTTGCGAATGTATAATAGGGGACGGGGCAGTGGGTCTTCACCACGTCGACGACTTTACACCTGTTAAAACGATTTTTATTTTTGGTTGTTGTTTTTGACGGATTTATGCAATTTTTTTTTTTTTGACTCCTTTTTTTTGTCTTTTTTTTTTTTAATTTCTTTTTTATTTTTATTTTTTACTGAGATATGATGATTACTGCAATGCCAAATTTAGATATTCTTACGGAATTGAAGCATTTATGAGTCCCGTTATTGCGCTTCACGAGGACCTTCAGAAAAGACTTGAGGAATACCGCAGTACGCGTGGATTCAGCCCCGTCAAATGGATTGAGCAAAAGTGTGCCGCACTGAACGAATACATGGCTTCCCATGGGCTTAAGGTGTGTGTTACAAGTGTTTCTGGTGGAATTGACTCTGCAGTGGTGCTGGCACTTTGTTCAAGGGCGATGCGGATGCCTAACAGTCCCATTGTGAGGAATGTTGGCATATGTCAGCCAATCTGCAGCAGTGCGTGGGCTCTTGCGCGAGGGCGGGAGAACATTCAGTCTTGTGGCGCACTGGAAGTCATTGTCGACCAGACAGAGCTTTACAAACAGTTGTCAAGGATTGTTGAGACAGCGGTGGGGATAGACGGTCAGAACTTTGCCAGAGGACAGTTACGAAGTTACATGCGCACTCCAGTGGCGTACTACGTAGCACAGCTGTATAGCCAAGAAGGGAATGCGGCCATTGTCATGGGTACAGGGAATATGGACGAGGATGGCTACTTGGCTTACTTTTGCAAGGCAGGCGACGGTGTTGTCGATGTGCAGCTTATCTCTGACCTACACAAGAGTGAGGTGTTTCGGGTGGCACGGGAGCTTGGTGTGCCGGCGAACACTTTACAGGCCTCTCCCTCCGCCGACCTGTGGGAGGGTCAGACGGACGAGGAAGAACTTGGATTCCCGTACGATTTTGTGGAGCTCTACACGGGGTGGTGCCTGCAGCTGAGTGATGAGGAGCGACAGTCATTTCTGCACTCGCTCTCTTCAGATGCTCGTCAACAGTACGAGAAATATAAGGATGCATGTGAGAATACACATCGTCGCAACGCACATAAACTCCGGGGTCCCATCAATTTGTAACCAACTTCTTTTTTTAAGAAACCCAAAAAGAAAAAAAAATGCAGAAAAACAAAAGGAGAAGGAAAAAGCCATATATTTCTATTTTGGTTTATGTGATGAGGATCTTTGGTATTCTACTGGCATAATACGTTTCCTTTTGGTTTTCTTTTTCTTTATTGTGGGGATACCGATTCTGTCCCTACACAAATATTTGGGATCCTTTCCGTTCTTACGGTTTGTGCACTTATATTGTCTTACGCATGCATCCTTTGCTTTAAATATATATATATATATTGCTTACCTTTGTTTTTATTGCGTTTTTTGACTTTTGTTGCCGTTAGTTCAGGCCTTTTCGGTTGGCAATGCGAGAGTTATTGGGCAACTCCGATACAGAAGGATTGCTGGCCATTGAGCACCGTCAGGGGAAATCTCTACGGGCTCTGAAAACGACGAGTGACGATGAAGACGATGCCGCATTTAAGACATGCATGAGCGGAGGAACGGAGGATGCCTTTGGATCTCAGACCAGCAGTCGCCGGAAGATATTCAAGAGGTTTAACCTGGACGCTTTCTACAATGGTGCGCAGTTTCGTGCGGGGGGTGAAACCACAGACCGTACGGGTGGGGGGAGTGAACGAAGAAAGAATGTGCGTGGACTTCTCAATATAATCTACGGCGAGCAAGAAATGGGTGCCTTACAGCAAAGGCATAGACGTCCAATGGATGGTGACATTGACTCCGCCACGAAAAATACAGTGGATGCTGCAGCACCCGTTGTTGCCGTTTTTCCAGGAACACCTCTTAAGAAACGCAAAGAGAAACACGAGGCAGGGGAGTGGGTATCTGCGCGTCACACGGCTTTGGAGGAATTGCGGCTGGAGTTGGACAAGCGACTGCGCACGGATGCGCACTTCCGACCCGAGCTGCGAGAGGTTGCGAAGGAGAAAGAGGAACACATAGAACAAGCAAAAGAAGAAGAAGAAGGTCATCAGCGGAAAGTGAGTGTGATGACTAGAGAGCGGCGACGCTCCAGTGATTCTATTGATCCATCCCGAGGTCTAGAGATGAGTCCTGCAGTCATGTCGGACCGTGCTGAACCCAGGAGGATGAATGAACCAGCCATAGATCTTTCTGATATTCATGACATCCCCGACGAGCGATCGATGGAGGTGATGCGGCGGGCGGAAGAACGATCAATAGAGAGAAAACAGAGAGCGGAGACGGAATTTCGGAATAGGGAGCTCTT